CAGTACCCAGACCACTTCCAGAGCTACATCCAGCCTCCTGCAGGATGGATATAGGGGGACCGGGCAATTACGGCCGCAGGGTGGAACCGACAACTCACCTCCATTGAAAGTCACGAATTTGTAGACGCAACACACAAGTTTTAAAGAGGTAAATTAAAGAAAAACTTGCCCGTAAACGAGTTAGATGGTCAAGTTCGCCTCGTTCCAGACGCAAATTGCAAATGAAGCTGGGCAGTCAATTTCGCCCCGAGGCTCTAGTCTTTCTTACTCCAACCATTTAAATAAAATTAATTGGTAATTACGTAAATGCACTACCCGATTTGAGAACCAACAACTCAGCATTTTGCCAACAAGTGTGTTTATGGGTTTTTACGATTCTCAAGCGTAAACTGCGATTATTTCCCCAAAACACCATCAGCCCAATAATCGTTATCATGAAGACGTGTTGTTTTATTTAATTCAGGACATTAATTTTTAATTATTTGGACGATTTTCGGCCGCAGCAGGTTAATGCACCTTGTAACCTTTACTTCTCTTGATGTACGTCCTTTATTCACTCAACGAAAGTGCAACAACTATCAGAGATAGGTAGAGTCGTATGAGATAACAAGGTCGTAACACGTTTCAGAAACAGTGAATGTCAGTCCATAAACATCCACTTCAGTGACCAATTTAATAAACGCTGCACGTGTACAGAGAAAGAAGTGGTGTGTACTGCCTTGTTAGACGGCACAGTTCCAAACGCTCATGAAATAACAAAAGACAGGCCAAGGCGAGTTTAATTAAGAAAGAGTTCATCGGGTTGACACGTAAACAATGGGTGCCGATTATAATAAATTTATGCACATATCCCGTAACAAAAATAAAGTTTATAAACCACCATAATTGCTTCACTAGTTCTCTTGTTTTCGTCACCATATTGTAACAAAATAATATTGCGGGCCTTGCTTTTATTCCACCTAAATCTGTTACAAAACCAAAGTCAGGGTTCGTTTAAAAACGCGTTTTGCACGTACCTTTCGTGAAAGAGCCAACACAGGACAGCGAACACAACCACTGCTTCCACAAACATTGTACTGGGCACGCTCGCGACGAAACACAATCAACTTAATAGCATACTCAGCGCAACCTGTTGTCCTTAGCAGGAAACTCTGGTGTGGCGTGATCCAACCTTACGTTAACACACTGTAACAGGGCACGAAACTGCTCGTGATGTCCCCCGATATTCAAATTGTAAATCTCCTTGTCCTCTGATACCACCTATCCGAATCAAAATGGGGTTCTTCAGACATGCAGCGATCTGTTTTAACGGCTGCTGAAGACCACATATCGGCAATTCGCGGGCGCAACAATTTTATGAGGTCACATGATTTGGAAATTTGCCAATATGAAAAAAAAGGGCAATAATTTTCTGCTACTGAGAGACGACATCGTGGCATTTATTTACACAGAATAAACATATTTTTTATATCAATTGAAATAAGGTCTTCAATCATTCGTGTTTACTCGTTAAAAATTTCGTTCTGAATATTTCAAAGTACACGTGTTTAGAATTTTGATGCAATCCTTATTCAATATGACTTAATGATTACTTAATACGATGTATACAGGAAAGAACAACATCATTTTTTAAAAAAAAATTACGTCACTGTTCTCCTATTTCATTCGTTCGTTCTTCTTCGTCTTCAGAACTCCAGGGCGTGGCAAATGTCTGCTTTCGCAGCGCCCCCTTCTGGTAACACGGCATCAAATAATGGTTACATAAACGCAACATGACCCTTAATTCGGAAACTTCTGTAGCAGGCGTACATTGCAAATTGCCTAAACACTACTGACACTGCGTACTAAGCATCAATAATAATAATAACAATAATAATAATTTCAAACCTATATTTTTAAGGACGTGTCATCCTCTTTAACAATGGGTAGCTTTTGTGTGTTTCGTGGTGTGTTTACAATTCAATTCTGAATCTAAAAATATAAATGCATAATTAAATAACAATGAGAACGAATTCATAATACTAATTATGCTCTATTTTTCTTTAACCTGGAACTGCGTGCCAGAGCACCCCGGGAAATGAGACTATAGCGCTGATTTCTCCGTTCGCAAAGAAACATAAAAGAAGTTACACAATGCTGTGCCATAAGAATTTCACTGCCAATTTATTTCAATGAATAGCTTATGCCTGAACTGCCAGTAATTTGATATAAAGGCCAAAACAAAACACGCAAGGTTGCCCCTTCAACGGGAAAATTGTTACGACCGTCAGCTGCCCCCTCAATGTTAACGCACCGGATCTGTTACATCTTGCCATCGGCGGCTATTTCAACGTGTTCCACGTTTACTCAAACAGAAGACAGAAAGTCAGTCCACGTACAGTTTGGGCCGACATTAACTTATGCAATAAATTTCATGCAGATAAAGAAGCTGCTGTTACAGACATGAACAAGGTCTTTCAGGCGTGACACTAAGTGACCCTCTGCCCCTAACCCGCTATCACCACGAATCACGCCAACTTACAAACGTGCGGACACAGCATATGCCACGTTGTCAACACGTGGCCCTAAACCAAGACGCTTGCATCCTCACATCCCTGCCCACATTGTATTTTGTAAATCAAAAACTGTGAGCTCAGTTTTTACTGGGGCGAAACAGGGAAAGATGTGACCTCAGTGAGGAGGAATGCCTCCATCATCACCTGATGATGGAGGCAGCAGGGCCCTCTGAGAAGTCAGTAAACTTCTACCAGACTACATGGCACTACAACCCAGAAGGTAGCCATCTTCGGACTCACCGCCGTGCAAATCTCAATTCATTACATTACACCAGCAAACAGAAACAAGAATGGAGTAGCAAATTTTGATGGAAAACCCCCACCAGTAACACCAGTACAACAATTTCTTCCACATCCTTTCAAATTCACTATTCACTATCACCCTCTCATTTGACGCTATATACTCAGGGCTACTGAAAAGGCGTCGTTCGATAAACTATAAATATAATGAATTCTTGTCAGGCTACGAGCCATGTCATGTGGCCCAATGGAGTAAAAAAAACATGTGTTTTCTCCATTCAACCACCTGATACAGCTGACTAGCCTGTGAAGAATTCATTGTACTTAGTCACCACAAAAGCTTCAGATCATACAAACTATAAATAAATAAATATATAACTAAACAACACTGCAGGGACCAGATGGAACGTTTCATTGTTACATAACAGATTTGAATCATCAAGTTTGATGATTAAATTGTTATCAGGGTGAGTTTGCACACCAGAGATGCATCACAAAGACAGCTTCCTAAACGAGCAGCCTTTGAGAATGAAGCCGGTCAACATAAGGATTGTCCAGGACCTGTAACAAAGTACCTACACAACCCAGCAGCTCCCTCAGATAAAAATAAGAGGGCTTCAAGAAAGAGACTTCTCTTTACAAAAGAACAATATCACAAGAGGCAAATCGCAGTGAAGCTTAATCATGTGGAATAAAAAATTAAAGTAATTACTTCTATTTACTACAACAAAATTTTCAACTTAGTCTTAATAATTCAGCAAGAAAATTCAAATTATTACACTACAACGATGGGTTGCTTAGATACCAATAGTAAAATTACATGCCATGTTACCTACAAATATATTTCTCTGCAAAAATTAAATTAGCCTCAAAAGTGTGAAATTGTTCTGTGGTTTCTAAATATGGCATCCAATGTAGGTTCACACTGAAACCTAGCTGTGATACATGTTTATATACTTCCACCCAATCAGCAATCATTCAAAATAGCCAGACATCAGCTCATTCATTAATTACAAAGAATAAAACTTATATTCACACAATACTACTCATGTCTTTAGGCACTGTATGCTAAAGTCCTATGAATAATCATGACATTCAGCCTTATCAAGTTTATTTTTAAATACAGATAACTGTAACATGCATTTGATTAAATCCATGTCAAATCAAGAGACAAAACTGAAATTTTCAACTGTCACTCCATATTTCAATTAAACACAAAAGAAGTAACTCAAAACAACCCTTTTAACATCATTGCAATACTTTTATAGCTTAGATTTCACATAAAAATTGTGATTTTTCTGCATGGTACACCTTTTAAGAATTGTTTGATCTATTATTATTATTATTATTGAGTGTTCTGTCTGACGACAGATCCATTGCTCTGCCCAAAAAGAGCACTATAAGACAGATATTTTCTGGGTAGCAGCACAATGCAGACTGGTAGAAGTTTACCAACGTATGAGTACTCATCGCCTTGATGATGGGGCCAGCAAGGGCCTATGAAACACTGGTAAACTTCTACCAGACTACATGGCACTGAAACCCAGAAGACAGCCATCTTTGGCCTCACCACCAAGAAAACTTCAAACCCAACTTGTTATATGTGTATAACTAGCCATAGAACAATTTCTGGACCAGTATAAAAGTTAATGAAATTCACAAATGGTGGTCAATTGGGTTGTTGCACTGTGTAGTACTGTGGTTGTATGCCAACGTTCTGGAGGTACATGCTGCCTTCACCATCAGCTCTAAGTTACAAACTTCGACTACTTAATTCCCTTCTTTTTCTTGGGCTTCATGACATGACCCAAATGTTATCCTGAACAAAGTATTGGGAAATTTATACTTGTAAGACTTGAGGTTCTCACAGCGGTGAGTATGAAGATTTCTGTCTTCTGGGTTATTGCGCTGTGTAGTCTGGTCGATGTTAACCAACGTTTCAGAGGTCATACTGCCTCCGTCATCAGGGCGATGACCAGACTACACAGCGCAATAACCCAGAAGACAGAAATCTTCAAATTTATACTTCCTCATAAAGTTAAGTCAATCACCGAACATGCAACGAATAAGTGACATGACATATATGTGTCATATTGTAAAAAATATAAACTATAAGTTACAAAGTTCTCTGTCCTTGAGAAAATAAACCAAAACATTACGTAACAAAACACTTACTGATACCTACAAACAAAGAATTCGGCTTACTAAAGTTGCTCCGTGCTTGAATACTAGTAGTATAGCAATGCAAGTGAAATTTCACAAATTAATTCACAAAACGTTTCTGATAATTCCAAATAAAGCGTGTATGCCCCACACACACACACATACACACACACAACGAATGCCGCGATTTCTTCCTTCGTTTCAGTGTAGGTATAGCAGCAAATGCTTTCTCCCCTCAAGTGGTAGTATGTAATTTCCCGTCGTACAAAAAAGATGGGAAGAGAGAAGTAAGGTTTGTCTTTCAGTTGAATAATTTTTATCCTCCACTAAGAAGTAGAATAATTACTACTTTATTTTACAAATTTTTATCTCCGAAATTCGACTTATTTGTATCTAGGTATGTTACAATTAGATTAGTAGGTTACCATGATTGAGGTTATGGTCTAGTGGGTGTCTTTTTCCTGGTTCCACGGTGGTATGAAAAGTTTACTGCAAATGTCCCCCAAAAGGAAGATGTGTTAATCACGTCTGTCTAAACATTCTATAAAATAATATTTGTGGTAGAGACTAAAAATGATATTAGATTACTTCTATCAATGTTAAATTTGGTAATATAGTTTATCACTGAGTAAATAAATGAATAATGTTAATATATGCATATGTAGTTCATCTCTTTCAGTACTGATGGTTAATTTCAGTTTTTGTAGGCTGGACAGATCTGTCTCATAAAACCACAAAATATGGATGTACCTGTAAAGTAACCTTATGTAAACAAATAACCAAACAAACAATAATGGATCAAGTTTGGAACAAAGACAACCCTTACCCCACTTCATTATGCTATTTTCTTATTAAATGTATCTCTAAATGTGGCACTTTGAATTTGTGGCCCTGGATTCAATCCAACATATCCAGTCACCAACCGCACTGCTATTGTGTATGACCCCCACTCCCCGAATACACTGTGCTTTGTTTTGGGTTATTATCACCACTCTTTCACACTGACACTCAAACTCATATCTCCTATTAATCTGACCAAAATTTTGTATGCATTTTCTGCTTCCAATCCCTCATGTCATCATGTAATTAATAATCTATGATTGTCAATCCAATGCTGTATTTACATGCAGGGTTGGTACAACTAACATGATATGAAGCTGTTGTACTGTGGCTTTAATGGGTTTGGACAATGCCCATCAATGACAGACAGTGTTGTGTCTCATCTCATCGAACTACCATTGACCAGCGTGAAGGGGGCTTTTGTGTCATGGAGCTGCATGGCTGTGATGTCTGGTAATGAGATATTTTAAATATTGTCACTGTGTTTACCTGTCCACTAGTTATCCAGAATAGAATCTGAACATTTAGTAACAACATTTGATATGACTTTGAATCAATTCACTGCATTTTATATGCTCATAACTGAATTTCCTGCAGTCCATCTAAATGTTATCCTCCGAACACCTTTTTGATCTTTCAAGTGGCCATGTTTTAATACCATGTTCACCTTAAGATGGTTGCTTTATAAATATTAGTTCTGAAAATTTCTTGAATCAATGACTAACTTTTTTAATGCTTACTGTTCTTGAAATTTGTTCTCTTTATATATAGACATCAACCAGTAGCACGTCTGCCTTGGTATGTTTCTGCTATTATAAATTTCTGATACTTGGCTTTAACAATTTGCATATTATGTGATCATTTATCAAGAAGAATTGCGTAATAATAACAAGACTAAGAAGGAAACAAGTAGTATAAAAATATACCAAAACCAGTTGAGATGTTTACATGGCAGTGAAGGTCTCAGTTTTTTTTTCTGGGTTGTGGTGCTGTGTGGTCTTTCAGATGCTTACATTTCATGAGAACCTATCACTTCCATCTTCAGGGCTGAACCAAGGACAGATGTAACACATTCATTTTTAACAATTGTAGCCACTACATGGCAACATAACCTATAAAAAAGAATAAAGATATCAACACAATAAAGTTATTTTTCTCTGCAAATAACAAATTACAACAGACAGACTCATACCATGCAACAAACATCACACTTAGACGCACAAAAGAAATATATTTATCAATTGTCATTTCTGTATCAACTGCAGAAAAATTATATAAAGGAAAGCCGTGGTAACTGAAACACAGCACATGTGGAATATGAAGGCAGAGGTGATAGAAGTAATTATTGGTGCAACTGGAAGCTTATCAAGTCGAGTCATGGCACAACAAGTCGTGTTCTGTCATAGGTACCGGAGTCTATTTGTTGGGGTTTGTTGGGGGCCGGTCTCACCAACTGAAGCAGCTTACGTTACCAGACTCACAAGACGCTCTGCAGGTGAGTGGACGTGCAAAATTATTAAGAATTTACACTGTAACTCATGGCTGCAGTATTTCTGAGTAAAGTGATGGATGTTTGTTAGCTTTTTTTTTGGTTTCCTTTCCTGAGCCACACCATACCCATATATTTTATTTATTTTATTTTAATATTTATGTTAAATGTGCGTAGCTCGGGGTCTGCAGTGGCCGTGCGGTCTGAGGTGTGGGCCTTGTGCCGCTTGGTCGCTGGGACCATGGGTTCGAATCCCACTCAAGCCATGGATGTTTGTCCACGTCTTTCTGTGTTGTGCTGTCCTGCGTACAGGTAGAGGCCTTGCGACGGGCCGATCCCTCGTCCAAGGAGTCCTACCGAATGTCCATAGATCAAGCCAACTAAAAAGTTTGGACCCGCAGTGCTCAGGCACTTGAAGAACGGGTCGTTCCCAGTATACCAGTGCCTAGCTCTCTCAAGCGTTCACAATCTGATTTGTATCTGTGTCGGCATGTTATTTAATCCTTCATAAAGGTGTCATGCTCTCGGGGACACGCACTACTACTGACGCCATGTGGTAAGTGCTGGAGGTACTGCATGAAGACTGGATTGTGGAGGAGAATCGATCGCTTTACAATGACGGAGAGGGAACTTGAACACAAGGACACGGGGACAGACCCCATTGTGAGGGTCTGCTGTGGATCCACATTTGACGTTGCATTGTCTGAATCAGGTGAGAGACTGTATGTCACTTTATGAAAATACATAAAGGGGGGAAGCATACGTTCAGGAAACTGAACATCACAGTAAGATGAGCTGAAGTGTTGCACTGCGTAGTTGATGTATGTGGTTACTGTTGCAGGACATGCATTTGTGCTACCCTCTCCAATATACCACCCTGGAGTAAAAGTCACACAGGTCGCTTGTGGTAACGAACACTGCCTACTTTTGACTGAGACAGGACAGGTGTTCACTTGGGGGAGAGGTAGGTACGTATGCGTATCGCAATGTAAACGAATCGCCCCGCCCTGTCTTGCTTGCAAAGTTTGCTAGTCTTTGCTTTTGAGATTAGGATCAAGTGATTCATATTGGCTTTTTGGTTGACTGGCTAGGATATTATATTTCAGTCGGGGTCAGCTGGGCCACGGTGACCTAGAGAGTGAGCAGGAGACTGCTCGACAGGTGGATTCATTAGCTGGCCTGCGTGTGACGCAGGTGGCAGCAGGGGGCTGGCACTCAGCAGCTGTCACAGAATGGGGTGACCTCTACACGTGGGGCTGGAACCATTCGGGCCAGCTCGGGTTCCCCATCGGAGAGGTGAGAATTTTATTGCGTCTTAACAGCAGACGTGTAAAAATTATAATCTGAGACTTAAGACACAGCACTGATGATGAGGTCTTGGTCTCTGGTTTGTAATGCTGTGTAGCTTTGTAGTTGATTGCCAACATTTTAGAGGAATGTATTACCTCTACCTTCATGGTTGAAATAAAGATGGAGCCAGTAATGTTCCTCCAAAATGTTGTTATATGTCTACAAGACTACAACCCACAAGACCATAATATTTACGTACTCATGTTCATTTTAACTGTGCAGTTTTTAAACATTTATACATTCACTCCAGTCCTCATTCTTTTACAGAACACTGTCACATGTGAACATGAGCAAGCAACAGGCCCCAAGAAGCTGAAAACTGACGACAGCCAAAACACAGACGAGGTCACTATTCTAAATATCCCACTGCCTGTTGCCTGTCCACTGGAGCAGGAAGTGAATGTGAAAGACGTTGGATGTGGTAGCAGACACACGATTGTACTACTCGGTGAGCAACTACGATCCAGTTCGATTTGCTGAAGTCTGTTCCTGTTGCTTGAAGCGAGGCAAGATCTCAGGAGGACCTTATATTCCTGTCCAGCGACTGTCTTCAGTCTGGACAGGAAGTTGCAGCTCACAACAACCATGCTCTTCTTCTATGGCTCTCCGGTCCGTATTCGGTCCATGGCCTCCTAAATTCTCCTCTTCCATTCGGTCCTCCCTGCTAGGTCCGTCTGTCCGAGGCTTTGATCGAGGTTTCGAAACATCTTCCTTTTTACGGTGCGAGGTTGTTAGCCTTGCGACCAACCCCCAACCTGGAGGACCAGGGTACCTGTCTTAGTCTGACCTCTCCCCCTCGACCAACCCTACCAGTAGCTATGCTACCGCCAGCATAGCTCTTGGAGTCACTGAGGTACTCAAGCCCCACCACCACGACAAGGTGCAGGTACCATTAAGTGGGGCACAACAACTATATTTGAATTTATTAAATGGCAGAGCTTCTGACTTACAGACAAAATATCTAGGGTTTTAATCATGACTGTGATATAGGATGTTTCTTTTCATCATCATCATCATCATCATGAAAATAACATTCATGTACTTACCGAATGTTTTTATTCCCCTGTCACAAAATTGTCATATCATTTCAGAGCTACACTAAATGTTCTCTTTCTTTCTGACAGATGATGGTACGATCTGGGGCTGTGGCTGGAATGCTTATGGGCAGCTTGGGATGCCTCCAGAGCAGGTACTGAGTAGCTGGAAGTTAACGAGGCTGGAATTGCCAGATGGCTGTTCAGGAACAGTGACAGGCATTGTGTGCGGGGCCTGGAGCACCGGAGTGTATCTAAAATAACACGGAGGCTTTTGACACTCATTCCACTCCCGGAAATGAAGATGTAGCAAGTTAAAAAAATTCTGTGTTCATATTTTTTTAGATTCCCAGGATCTAAGCAAGCTGTTTCATCAGGACGCGGACAGTGATGAATGTTGTGCCGGTGATTTCCTTTGTTAATGCATTCGTGAAGGAAATGATGATTTGTACTTCTGTTCGCTGATGTGTTTCTTGATGCAAAATGGGAAACTGGTTTCCTGGGTGCAATAATCTGATGTAGGAAATCAAAACTCTAGGTCATAGGTAGATGATATACAATATTTTAAATGATGATGAACACAAATGCATTCAGAAACCAGTCATATTCTGTGCCTCATACAAAAGACATCACACAATCAAATGTAATTTCATGTCTGGGAGGCTCCCGTGGTTAGATCTTGGCTGGGAATCAAGCTACCTTGACAAATTCTCTAATTTTCTACAGGAAAATGTTGGTAGAGTAGTTAAAATTATTTAATTTCAAGTGTCTGCAAGCAGAAACTGTTGACAAAGATTATTATATATTTGTTTATTTATCATCTCAAAGATTATTATTATTATTAGTGTTCTGTCTGACGACAGGTCCATATGAACAGGATCCTTCCATCCTTTTCTCGGACTGGGACCTGTTCATATAAGTTCTTGGCAGATGATCCAGAAGTGGTTTGCCATTGCCTTCTTCTGTGTGTGTTGGGATGCTACGGAGAAACCGGGGAAGCCCCCGGAGGAAAACTCCGATGAGCAGGATCCTTCCATCCTTTTCTCGGACTGGGACCTGTTCATATACGTTCTTGGCAGATGATCCAGAAGTGGTTTGCCATTGCCTTCTTCTGTGTGTGAATGGAGAAACCGGGGAAGCCCCCGGAGGAAAACTCCGTGTTGCCTAGACCACGGCCTTGCCCAACACAAGTTATAAATTCAGGCACTGCCGGGAATCGAACCCGAGACCCCAGGATTACAAGGCCAGCGTTCTAACCGCTAGACCACTAGTGTATTATAATTTCTTTAATGAAGCACCTTATGATGGTCTTCACACTTAACTCAGGTATGAGAAACAAGAAATTGTTCAGAAATTGTGAAACTTGTTAGAACACACATGGTGATGGAATTCTATTTAAAAATGGCTCTACTGAAGTACACTTCGCTGAAGTCCTTTCATTCTATATTAGCGTAGCAAATTCATTCTGAAGTCTGAACAGGCCTTCAGATAGGATGTCTACGTACCAAAAGCTGAGCAGATTGTCACTAGTCGGCAACACTGATCTTACTGGACACTGAGCTAAAACAGAAATCGTGGAGCAGACAAACTCGCTTCGTCCCTTCTGTACTCTACAGGAAACTGTTCGTGCACATGTTACACAGTAGGGACATACTGTCTTAACTTGCAGAACTTAAAATTTTTCACACCAGTATTGCCAAAATTCTTGGTAACAGCGCAAAATAGGCTGAGCCAAACTAAGAAAATTAAGTCGAAACCAGAAAAAGGCACTGTGACATCCAGACGTGTCTTAGTGTCGTAGGGCAAGAAAAAATAAAATGTTCAAAATTATATCGTTAAAGAATCTAAGAGTCAGTCAGTCCAAACATATTCAATAATTACAACCCACGTGTCCTGATAACACCTTCTCGTGGTGGTGGGGCTCGAGTAGCTCAGTGACCCCAAGAGCTACTGGTAGGGCCTCCCTAGCCAGATTGGTCGAGGAGGAGAGGTCAGACTAAGACAGGTACCCTGGTCCTCCAGGTTGGGGGTTGGTCGCAAGGCTAACAACCTCGCACCGTAAAAAGGAAGACGTTTCGAAAGCTCGATCAAAGCCTCGGACAGACGGACCGAATGGAAGAGGAGAATTGAGGAGGCCATGGACCGGAGAGCCATAGAAGAAGAAGAAGATATTCTGTGATAGATTTAGAAATTTGTTACGTCATTTCACGTTAGTCAAGCAGAATTTGTTCTTTGTCTACAGTATCATACAGGTAAGATGAAATCTTTACAGTGTGCTTCGTACAAACTCGTACTAAATGCTGCAGTTGAGAAGTCAGCACTACTTTTTTCATATTTGGAAGGTCTTGGGTTCAAATCTCAGCCCAGAGATTAAGATGGAACTAGACAAAGAAACTGATAACCCAAATATTTAAAGAAAAGATAACTGCAAGATATGTGTAGTGTGTCCATGTGCAGACAATGAAAGAAATGGAACTGAATGGGACACACGAGCTTACGATAGTAACATTAATTTATTGGGCAAAAACATAAACGTTGTAAAGAAATTACGCCAATTCTGGCATCAGACAAGGGGTCTACGTGGTACCAAAAAACCCGTAACAATAACATCATCATCGCCATCACAACCCTGAAAACCTCAAATCGCAGAAGCTGTACGATGTATTGTCCACAGACCAGTAGAAAATCCGTGCGGGGGGAAGTCGTTTCTGGGGCGGTGCAGGGGGAATGTTTACTATCAGGAGGACTAGAGGGCTGCTATTGGTGGGAAGTGTGACACGCCATAGTTTTACGCTACTACACAGACTGAAAACATCAAGCAGTTAAGAGTAGCGTGTAGTGAGTGCACCTGTAATCTTAAAGCTATAAACATTAGAACACATGAAAGCCTGTCGTCTGTTGTTCGTTCAGTGGTTGTGGAACGAATGCTTTTAGGATGGGACGTCACACACCGCGAAATCTTGCGCATGCGCGCATATCGAATTCCTAGCAGGGCTTTTCTTCTGATCTGTGGACTGTACTAACGAGGAGGTTGATCTAGAAGGGAACACAGGAAGAGTCAAATATATGTTCACGTCTCACTACCAAAATGCGGGACAAAATAATTCCATAAATATTGCTGATAAATCCGTAAAAATTGTGGCAAAGTTAACATATTTTAAAATCATAGCAACAAATCAGAATTACATTTACTAATAAACTAGGGGAATATTAAATTCCGGGAATGCGTGCACCGGTACAGTTCTGAATCTATTCACTGCTATTCTGCTATTTAAGAATACAGAGGAGGATGAGATGGGTGGGACATGTAGCACACATGAAAGCTGAGAAATGTGTACACAGTTTTGGTTGGAAAACCTGTAGGGCGGTGGTCATTTATAAGACCTAGGCGTGCAAGGGTGATGGTATTGAAGTGGATATTTAATCGTAATTTAAGCAGTTGTTCTGTATGGATGTAAAATATACCCGGTGCACCCCTCTTGTCCCATCCATGCGCGCTACATGTCCCGCCCATCTCACTCTTCTTGACTTAATCACCCTCACAATACTGGGGGAGCAGTACAGATTTTTAAGCTCGTCATTGTGCAGTTTTCTCCACGCCCCATCGTCTTCCCTCTTAGGCCCAAATATCCTCCTCAACACCCGATTCTCAAACACCTGCAATCTGTGTTCCTCCCTCTGAGTGAGAGAGCATGTTTCGCACCCATACAAAACAACAGGCAAGATTATTGTTTTGTATACTTTAATTTTCAGGTTCTTAGAAATCAGACGGGAAAAATAATATAATTTAATAATATGTCTTACCTGAGGAAAAGCATGGACTGAGGCTACCTAAGAACTGAAATAGTTATATAATTACTACTCTTCTGGTGCTTTGCGGTAGCAAATAGACCAGTTTTAATAAATTTTTGTACCGAACGTATGTCACTTAGCTACTTATCAAAAATTCAGTTCTGAAACGTTTTTGAACGACATCCACATTTACGTGTGCTTGAAAGAAAATATTGTGCCTGGAATCATTAAATTCAATGATTTTGAGCTTGCTCACCCATGTCCTGGCCCCTGGAAGTAACTTCTCTTTTTAATGGTCCTCGTTACATAATTAGGTTGACCCGCCCGGTCTACGTAGGGTCCACATTCCACTGATTAATAAATTATTCTTGCAGAAGCTACGAATAGCGGTTTCCTTTCACTTTTATATTTTGTATCCCATGACCTTAAGTGGAATTTAAGTATGTCAAACGTAGAATTTGAGGTTTTCAAGGCGGCGAGTCTGAAGACGGCTGTGTTCTGCTTGAAGTTCCCCCGATAATTCAGAGGACAGCAACCTTCACGACAAACATTATCAGCCAAAATGAGTCACAGTCCGACAGACTGCGTGGGAAAGGCAGTGATGGGACACCTTCCATTGTTTCAGATTCCGACGTTTCAGAAATACTCATTTGTAAACGCAGTCTAAGGAAGTACGAAATAATCCGAAACGCTAGTAATTGAGGACGGTTGTTTATGGGATGTAGCACCATGCTGTCCGGTACTGACCGACGTTTCAGAGTAGCAACAGGGGATCTATCAGACTAAACGGTGTTATATTTCAGAAGTCAGCCATCTTCATATTCTTAAACTTAACAGCTTCAGATCTCGATCAGAATATCTGGTGTCCGGACAGAAAGGAGAACCTTGGACTTCCAGAATACGAAGGAGTACTAACCACTGGTCCACAACGTTCGGCCATAGTGGTTATGAATCTGACTCGCATTTCCAGGTAGTCGGTTCAATCGTGGTCATCCTGTGTGGCCGAGCTTTGTATTTTACTCAGTCCCTCCCGCCAAATTCAGGGAGATGATCGATTCTTTAAACATCCTTCTCAGTTTGTGCCACTCTATCGAAATGTTCGATCTACATTAGATCATCACTTTTTACACGACATGTTTCAGTTCTAAAAGAACCATCTTCAGGTGTATAAAATTATTATATAAACCTAAATATAATTTCTTAAATGCAACTTTTAGTCAGAAAACATCATTTGAAATCTGATAAACATCTGACTAAAAGTTGCATTTAAGAAATTATATTTAGGTTTATATAATAATTTTATACACCTGAAGATGGTTCTTTTAGAACTGAAACATGTCGTGTAAAAAGTGATGATCTAATGTAGATCGAACATTTCGATAGAGAACATCATTTAATATATTTTAAACATTTAAATGTTAATTATAGTAATATTTTAATATTTAATAGGAATTTTATTGTGATTAGACTAAACAAATACTACAAGTTTCTTTACGCTACATAACCTCAGTCTGCATAGTTGATTGGCGTCTTAAATTACTTACGCAGACTCAAATTCTGGAATTAATGATGACCCATCGCAAGACCTCTACCAAAACAGGGAACCCCAAGACAGAAAAACATTCGTGCTTCTTTCTAGAACACTAATAATTTGCTTTTCAAATAAATTCCGCTTTTACGTCGTCTCAAAGATTTCGAGGGTGTGAGAATAGGCTAAAGGCTAGACACCCAAGGTTCAAGTCCCGGTATACGATTCTTATCTTCGCCATCATGTTCAGGCCGACTATCTACTTCCGCGGTTGAGAATGCGTGGAGCTATACTCCAATTCCTACATACGTCTTCATGGCGCGGTGCTTAGGTTAAGTACCAGCGAGGGCAGTGGTCACGTGTGAGTGAAACTCAAAATGTTGGTCACAACTGATTCTGACAAAACTTTGAAAAGAGTGTACGAGGAAAATGAGATTCCGAACCCTTCTGGTCATGCTGCCTTCTTCACCTCGCCATGCATGGTCGCGTCTGTGCAAAATATTTCCA